CTCTACACAAAATGACAGACAAATTCGTTGTCTTTGTTCAAAGAAAGAAAATTTGTAAAAACATCCCCTAAAAACAAAAAGAGAGAGAAACAAAAGTTCACCAAGTTTTATTTTACTAGAAGCATTTTAGTTAACTCAAGATTCTGTTAATTCTTTCAAGACTTTCCACGTCTTTGAAATCAAGAGACCCATCTCCTTCAGCATCATAGCTCGCATGAACACTATAGAACATATACACAATCACTGCCAAGCCCGAGAAGAACCCGAATCTGACGTACGAAGGAGCATCCAACGATCCAAGCAAGAATATGTTCAAAAATATCGAAACGCATGGAGTCCACGGCATCAATGGTACACCCCAAAACTCAGGATTCATAGCTTGAGATACCACACATTGGAATATCTGCACGATGGCTATAGCCGCCACCGCGCATGCTCCAAGCATGAACCATTTAGGTGGTCCCGGTGGCGCGAGTTTACACACTAAGGTGAAGACAATTGTGGTTATGGAGAATAGGCAGAGGAAGGAGAGTGTAGGCCAAGGCTTGGTGTATCCGACCGCTACATAACGCCTGAATATAACCGCGTTTGCGACCATGTAGAAGACGAAGAGCGTTCCGATTGAGACGAGGTTTAAGAGAACGTTTAGGTCGGTGAAGAGGGCGAGAGCCGCCGTGAAGATTCCTGAAGAAATAGTATATACAGTGTTAAAGAGCCAGGCAAAGAAGAAGGATATGCTAAGACCATATTCTTTAGTTAGCTCAACATTACTAGATTTGTATTATATATTCGAAGATGTATAAAGTTGATTTTGTGATTGAATTGAAGATATTGGAGGAATTTGTTCTACTAGTTCTCTTGCTGAATATAGGGTGGGAAAAGATTTGAACTTTTTGTTCCACGTTCAAAATCTCTCTCGGACTTTGTCCAAAGAGATTATAGATCAAATTAAGCTCCAGAATTTCGAGAAAGAAAAAAACAATATGTTATATAACTTATAAGATGGTTAGTGGACGCAAAATTGGTTAAATGAAAAGTGTTCAATTTGAGGTTAAACTACGTACTCTTTTTAAAAAAAATCGAGTTTTACAAAAAAATTATATCATCCAAAACCTCTACATCAGCACTTTTGCCTGTGTGAAAAAGTTGGAATAATTATACTAGCATCAAAAAGAAAAACATTGCGTATAAATATGCAAATGAAATTTTTGTGTGGGTCTAGATTCGTTACCACGACTCATGCATTATGGGCAAATTATAGTATATATATTACGATTCCAAGATCTAACTCACCAATAATTAACTAATATACGCATTATTAGCCAGACTAATTATGACATGACCTAAAGATGTTATGCGCAAACGTTGCGTAAAGTTGAAAAAACTGAGAGCTTAATTAAAAGTTAAAACCAAGAAAAATGCCGAATATAACTTAAAACACTAAAGAACAAAAAGGGACCAAAAAAGACCCAATAATATATGTCACAATCAAAAGACCAATTTAAAATATTGAACCTTTGTGAACACATTGGTTGAACATGATCACGACATTTTTATCGGGTTCTAAATGAAGACCCAACATCAAAAATCACATAACAACATAAGACCTTGGTCCTACACGTTAAAATAGACACACAATGAAAAATCAGTTGGGGAAAGATTTTTGTTTATAAATAGTGAATAATTCTTTCTCCTTCTCTACATGTATTCACGTGAAAAGTATGATCTACATTACACTGAAATCCAAAAAGATCATGGAAACACACACACAAAAATGGTTCAAATTTGGTCCCCCCACACACTCCCCTAAATTGTCTCTTTATCACTTCATGAAAATAAAACAGAGAAAACATAAACCGATCTTGACGAAAGGAAAATTCCAACATAACCTTAAAAAATTACTTGAGAGTTGAGATTCTACGTGATTTGTGTTGTTTGTTTTCTATTTT